ATGCTTTAACACACTAATTATCCCAAAAATATAGAGAGGGACAATTTTTAACTACGGTGTCGTTTAAAACCTTTCACCCGCTATAACGTTCCATTTCAGTTTCAAACTGCATCCACCAGAATCATGTGGCGGTTACCTTAATCAATTCCAGTTTATTATAGCCATCAACTTTTTGGAATTGCAAATCTTTATTTGTAAGGTGGGGAAAGACAATGCGGCGTCGTGTAGCGACAGAGTAGGAGTACGTACGGCGAAGAAGAAAACAAACAGAGTACTGATCAATCCTTGGATACTTGGCGGGAAATTAACTGCACGTATCATAGAATAGTAAGAGACACGATATGAACCGCAGGAAGACGAAAGAAAGGCAAAAGAGGAAACTTCCGATGTCTTTACAAGAAGCAGAGCGTAGTTTCTTTGTTGTTTCTGTGCTTAAAATCGGCCACGTCTTTGGGTTTTAGCCTACAAAGACAAGGGCACAAGGCTTTTGATTTGTTCGTTGTCGAAGACAATAGGTAGGTTCATGTCACCATATATGTATGCCATCTTTAGATCCTATTTTTTGTATAGATTTAGTGCACAATCTGAGATTGTATTTTTTGATATATGTGGAAAAAGAGGTTTGGAATTATTTTTCAAAAAATTCTTTTGGCTGTTGGAATTTTGAATTTTTTTTTTATAAGTGGATTACATAGACAATAAATTTTACTTCTAAAATTAGATATTTGAAATTCAAAATTGTCATTATTAGATGGGTTTTATCAATATTAAAATAAATTAACCTTAACTTAATTAAAATTTTAATTAATAAGTACTTTTAATTAGGTATGAATCTTTAATTAAATATTAATTTTTAATTAATGTGTATTTTGAAACTTAAAATGGTCATTATTAGAAAGATAAATATTGAATTAACTAAGCATTACATTAAGTTATTGTTAACTTAATTAAAAATATATTATTTTGAATGTATTATTTTTCATATAAAAAAAAAATATGCGATTCAATCAGCAAAAGTAGATATAGTAGATTATATATCTAGGTAACATTTTACCTATAAAGTCAAACATTTAAAACTTAAAATCGTTATTATTAGAAAGACTTTACCTAAAATATACCACAGTTGAATTAAATTAATTAATACTACTTAAGTATTAAAATTTGAATTTTTAAGTTGTTGTATTTTTTTTAAGAGAGAACATCATGGGTAACTGAAAAAAAAAAAAAAAAAAAAAAATTTAATTAATTACTATACTTGAAGTATTAAAAATTTGAATTTGTTTAAGTTGTTAGTATTTTTTTTTAAGATGAGAACATCATGGTGTGGCTAACTGAAAAAAAAATAAAAAATAATAAACAGGTGATGAAAATATGAGAATATTTGTCTCTTAACCTAAAATATTAATTAAAGAAAGCATGGGAGGGGAGGGGAGAGAACAAAGAAAACCCAACCTTCGAAAGATTGAGACAAATCAAAGTACTTAATCAAGTGGCAACTATATTTATTTAGGATTATTATCCACATGAAAATGACGCCAGATGGGCCAGCCCAAGAGTGACTATTAACCTGCCATTGCCTTAAATAAATCTTTTACCCTTGCTTGTCAAATCATCATTTACTATTTACTGTCCTGTCCATCTATGATAACTAAATTTTTGAAGACCGGGCTACCTTAATTACTCTTTCTGAACCATATTAATTTGTAAGATTTTGATCCTTTTCAAACCAAAAAAAAAAAAAAAAAAAAAAAACAGGTAGATGAAATATGAGAATATTTTGTCTCTAACCTAAAATATAATTAAAGAAAGATGGGAGGGGAGGGAGAACAAGAACCAACCTCGAAAGATTGAGACATCAAGTACTTAATCAAGTGGCAACTATATTTATATTAGGATTATTTATCCACATGAAAATGACCCAATGGGCCAGCCCAAGAGTGACTATTAACCTCATTGCTTAAATAAATCTTTTACCCTTCTTGTCAATCATCTTTTACTTTTACTGTCTGTCATCTCTGATAACTAAATTTTTTGAAGCGTCGTAATTACTTTTACTGACCCAATTATTTGTAAGATTGATCCTTTTCAAACCCACAACATCCATTTCCTGCCGCTCTTTATCGTTTTTAACTATTGCGAACTTGTAAACTATCATTTTATTTGCAATTCGAAAAATTAACGTTTTCTATGAATTGTCTATATAAATTTATTTCTTACTCTTGTTATGGGAATAATATGATATATTTATATTATTCTTTATTAATGAATAGCTAATTTTATTTAAAAACTAAAAAAATATCTAAATTTCAAATCATGACCTACGTTGTCACAATTAGTGAAAGCAACAGGTAAGGATAGTAATTTTACCGATCTAAAACTGATTTATTTTAATGGATTTGAGTAATAAATAAATGGGTTCAAAAAGTATTTTTATTATCCGTGTTGGATTCAGATCGAGTTCAGATTTAAAATTTCAGGTACCTGTTATCCGCCATCCGTTTAATTAATATTCTAAAAATATTTAAATTAATTATTTTTTTAAAAAAATTATACATGTCCATATTTTTAATTATAATTAATGTTATAATTATATTTAATATCTATATTATATTTTTTATTATATACTTATTTTTTATTTTTGAAAAATAAAAAAAATATATATTTTAAATACTAAATTGGTATTTATAATCGAGCTTGAAATGGGATTGAGACGAATTTAAATACATAATTTATATTTTGATTTGGATAATGCATTTTGAGCCCGGTGCCATCTCTAGCAACAAGGAATGGAGAAGGAAAATGGCTAGAGACGTGTAGCAGGCAGCAAGAGGCAATTTGCAATTTGCAATTTGCAAGGGACTCTTTATATACTAGAAGAGTTAAGACTTAAGACCCAAAAGATACCATGGGGCCAATTTCAAACCTTAGACCAAAATCATATTAATCAAAGTAAAAATTGTAACGTGTAATTTTAATTTTTTTTTTATTTTTTACAAACTAACACAAATATTTGGTCCAATTCTTTATGCAGGAAAGACTATACTGAAATTTCAAACGATTTTAAAAACGTTTACTACTGTACAACTGCCTCAATATATTTAGAAATTAATATTATTCATAATTTTTTTTATTATTTTGGTGTTTTATTGATAATTTATTTGAATACGGAGATCCAATATTTTCTGAATTCATATATAGAGATTTAAGAAATAAATTCTTCTATTAAAAATATAAATTAGAAGAGATTGATCGGTTAAATATGGATCAGAGACTGAATATTAATTAATATGAGATGAGATATAATAATTAAAAAAAAAAAAAGGAGGTTCAAATCAGTTGAACCCAACCAACGGTAATTCTAAAGGATCAAATGGTTGCGGAATGAAAGGTAAAATGAACTGTTTTTGTTTTTATTAATTATATATAAAAATATAATTATTCTACATGTTTTGTTGTCTCCCACAGCTGTCATTCAGCAGCCCATGCATGCAAATACTATAAATAAATAAATAAATAAATAGAAATAAAGAAAAGTGGCATTTTCGAAATAAGAGAAGTATCCACCGCTACCATAAAATTACTGACAAGTACAATAAAATATTTCTTTTAGTCAAAATGACATCACAAATACTACAGGAAGTTTCGATTCTAAATGAACCATCAACCCTATTTTTTAGATAAAAAAATTATTCGTTACGCATTAATACTTTTTTATAGATTTGCCAAAGCACAAAAATATTCATAAGAGTTATAGTTCAACTGGTAAAATTGGTTAGAGACGTGTAAAAAGCTCCAAGGGTCAATTCTCAACTTTCTTAATTTTTTGAACTTTTCCATTTTTAAATTAAATATAGACATATATATTCTTAGACTTTTGTTTAATATAAGTAAATTTTATGAATTTAAAATTTTTATAAATAAAGATATATTTGTTTCATTCTAAAAAATTTAATTTGATTAAATCAAATTATGTTATTTACAAATAATTATATAATTCAAATGTGAATTAATTACTTATTGATTTAGTTATTTAACTTTTACCATCTTATAGTTAAAAGTTGTCTTTTAGATGGATTTTTAATGCCTTCACTTCACAACTAAAGAATCCATCACGAGGAAGGGATGAATATAAAATATAATTAATATCACAAAACCAATATTATAATGAACTTTTAATATTTTAATGATAAATAATTAATATCATTAGATTTCATAGTTCATAATTATTATAAATAAGTATTAATCTTCAATCAAAAAATTTAAGCCGTTCAATCCAAACACTTAAAAATAGAAAAATAATTTAAAATTTTATAATAAATAAAGTCATAATATTTAGAATTGTTTATTTAGACTGAGTTCTATATATTGAATTTAAATCTACTGTCATGTTGAGTTGAAGGGTTAAAAATTGATATCAAAAACTGAATGTTGAATGGTTAAAAAGAGATATGTAGTATCATTTTATATTATTGTGATAATTCTATCTTTTCGTCCAATAAGTTACATAATGTATTGAATTAGTTAAAAGAATTTTTTTAATTAAGCTAAAAATTGATTTATAAAATTCAAATAAATAACATGTTATTTCGCCTCAAATAGATAAAATTATTTATTATTATTTAAATGAATACATTGAAATTCCAATAAATTGTCATTAAGTTGAAACAAATATCTCTTAAACAAAGAAAAAAAATTAAATTTTAAAGTGTTTTGATGTTGCAATTTTATGTTGTTGTTATTATTATTATTATTGTTATTATTATTATTATTATTATTATTATTATTAGGGCAAAGGAAATTCCTAAGAAAGAGAGGTGTGAAGGTCCACATAATTCTACATCTCTCTCAAAGTAATCAAACGCGAAAAAACGGAAACAAACAAAATAAATAATTTGAGAATATATTTTCTCGGGAAAAAGAAAAAAGACATAAGATGAAAGAGAGTGAGGCCACGCGCCCTCTGCATGTTTAGTTGTTCTCCTCGTCCCATCTGCCAGTTCGCGTATCCTCTCTCTCTATATGTACATACCCACACAACAAACGGCTTCGAGTAAATGCCAATCTCACCTCAACTTCAACGCAACTGAAACTGCTATTCACAGTTTAAATTGAAGAAGCAAAAATTAAATTGAAAAAAAGGATAGGAAACTAACAAAAAAAAAGGGGTTTAAACAGCTAACAAAAACGTGGAAAGCTGAAGGAAGAAGGAAGAAGAAACACCAGAAGAAGAAGAAGAAGAGAAAGAAAGGAAGAAAATTTTCGTTTTAAGACTTCTCTCTTCACTTTCCTGTATGTCTGTGACTCTGACTGTAAGTCGGCAACTGTACGCATACCCATTAATCTCTCCTCTCTCTCCATAACATCTTCTTTCTTTTTAATATTAAAAAGAATATTATTTTTTATCTAAAAATTTCATTTTTTTTCGAGAAAGTACATGTGAATTTTGGGTTTTGAAGTGCCTTTTTTATAACTTTATGCTGGAGAATTCTGTTTCCTTTTTTATTGTTTTGTTATTTCGGATTCTATTTAATCTTTATTAGTTTCTGTTTGATTTTGGTGTTATAACTATAATTCTAATACTGAACAGGTTTTGCAGAGTAATTGAAAAGACGTTGCCTTTATCTCGGAGAAAAGATTATTTCTTTTTTCTGTGTTTTCAATTCAATAACCTGATGGTGTTGGATCTGTTGGATTGATTTCTGTTCAGTTTGCATATACAGATTTCGGATTTTGTAAGTTTTCTTTCCCCCTCAATTTTCCAAATCAATTACATGTTCTCTGGTCTCAAGATATCCAGGTTTACTTTTTTTGCAGTGGGATAGTCTGCAGATTAAAGGCAGACTTGGATGAATGTTTGAAGGTTTAGGGCTATTTCAAGTTAGAGATGTCTCACACCATGGAAAGGTTTTTATCTGCAGTAGCCTCCTCCATGGAAAATCAAGTGGCAGGGCAATCAGTGATTGGCACAATCAAAATTGCCGTATTACCCGTAGCAAAAGTTTTCACAATGTGCTTTTTGGGTTTCCTTATGGCCTCCAAGCATGTTAACATATTGCCTGCCAGTGGAAGAAAACTCCTTAATGGGGTAATTAGACTAGCACCGTCGATTTTCAGACTTTTAAAGTTACTTTCTTTTTTGATTTTTTATATTAATGTATTGTTTGTTTCAATCATGTTATGCAGTTGGTTTTTTCGCTTTTGCTTCCTTGTTTGATATTTTCTCAGCTTGGGCAAGCTGTTACTTTAAAGAAAATGATGGAGTGGTAACTATTGGATATTTATTTTTCTTTCCTTTTACTGTTTATAGTCCATTTAAATTTAAACAGTGTATTGGATTTAAGAGCATCTATCCTATTGCAGGTGGTTTATTCCTGTAAATGTTGTTCTGGCTGCCACATCAGGCTCATTAATAGGGTTTCTTGTTGCATATATTGTCCGCCCCCCGTACCCATTTTTCAAGTTCTCAATCATACAAATTGGCATTGGTGAGCTACTTCACCTGAAAATGTTGATATCAAGTATATACACTCTTATTTTTATGCTAATTGCTTCAAGCAATGCTCTGGAAAGTTATAAACTAAAACTCTGCTGATATTATAAATTATAAACTAACCCTGAATCGTATTAAGTTTGTACATATACTGAACCCCAGTGCCTTTGTTCTGTGCTTCTAATGTGCTGGTGCTTGCACTTGTAAAAACTCTTGATTTTATGATCACATTGTCATTGAATTCAGGGAACATTGGGAATGTGCCACTTGTCCTGATTGCAGCACTGTGTAGAGATAAATCCAACCCTTTCGGTGACTCAGAAAAATGTAGTGTTGATGGGACTGCCTATATCTCATTTGGCCAGTGGGTGAGTCTTGAAGATCTTTCACATTTTTATTTCTTGTAATTGGACATTTTTCCAATAAATAAAAATATGTACTTTGAGATACTTTTTGTTAAACACTGGCGTTTGTTTAGGGTCATCTATTACTGAAACATTCTCTTGGCCTTCAGTCTTTAGATTAACTGTCTTTCCCTAAAAATTAAAGCTGACGCTGAATGAAGGCACCTAAACTGTTTATTCTTTATATGCTATATTACATAGTACTTCTGTACATTGAAAATCGCTCATATTTCTTTCTGAATGAACCGTGTATGGGCATGTAACTGGTTGAATATATTGCATTGCCGTTTGATGCATGGATAAATGTACTGTTTCCTATATTTGTTCACATCCTATGATGTTTAGGGATTAGCTTCACATATAATGAAACAAGAGAGATTCAGCATTTAAGTTTTGTGTCTTGCATGCCAGGTTGGCGCTATCATCCTATACACATACGTATTTCATATGTTGGCACCTCCTCCTGAAGGTTCCTTTGACATTGAGGATGGGACTCTTCCAATCAAGAATCCCCCAAAAGATGCTTCTCCTCAGCAAGTTCCACTGCTTGCCCCGGAGGAGGAGGTACCAGTAGATTCAAATGTTTCAAAGGAAGGAAAGGTGAGAATTAATTATGTGCATGTATTTATATATTTAGTTCTTCCGTATACTGTTTCACCATGCTTATCCAATTAGCTACTTTTAGATGCCTATGAGATCCTTTATATATCAAAAGGGAAACCAAATAATTCTTGAAAGACTGCACCTGCCATATCCCCTGCTTTTTTGCATATTTGGTTGCAATGTGAAAACACCTATACTGGTTTCAAATCATATAATTTTTTCTGTCTACAGAATCATGAATAGAAGCCTCCTGTTTATTTATTATTAAGAAATGGAGTTTCATCCTTAGATTGCAATCAAAGTTTTAGATTGGAAATCATCTTCTGTGTGCATCACCAGTGGTTTTTGCCATTTGTTGCTTCATATTGCGTCATTAAGATCAAATTGGTGTTCCAAATATTGCAGCCGTATATTCTCAGTATTTATGAGAGTTTTGGTAACTTTGTACCATGTTCCAAACTTTAAAACAAATCACACTAGAAGTGTTTTTTTTTTTATTTTTTTCTTTTTGTTTGGGGGGGGGGGGTTTGGTTTTGGGGGGGGGGGGGATTATCTGATATAATCGTTGATGCTATATCATGTTAATAGTACTTCCCTACGATTATTATTTCATTTCGTATCTCTTTGCCTTCTTGCAGATTAAAAAAATTCTAGTTTTCCTATATGAAAAAGTTGAAGCTCAACACTACTTTCACCTCCAATTACTTTGCTTCCTGTAAGCTTTTAAATCCTGTCGGCTCTATTTCCTTCTGATGGTCGAACTCTTAATCATTGGATCTGACAGTCTGAAATTTAATATGAGCAGCTTAGGGATTCAAGAGTTGGGAGATAATTCACTTCTCGTGATGTTTAAAGAATGCTTGTAAGAAATTTAGCAGGTGGCTTCTTGTTTCACTGAATTTTGAGCTTGAACTGCAATGATTATTCAACACCATCTTAATATACGCCTGAAACAGCGCACTTCACTCTGTAAAATGGCTTAGTTTTTAATATCAAATCCCTCAACTTTCCATGCATCTGATAACGTAAAGCGCCAGACCTGATGTTAACCCTTTTATGAGAATTTCTGATCAGTTTCCTTCACTTGTATTAATCAATGATATATTCAGCCACATCTTATACTAGCTGAAGGCAATTCACTCTGTAAGGCGTTACGTCTTTTCTTTATATCAACTTTCAACTATTTTGCACGCCTGATAATGTAGGACCCCGACTGGATATTCAACTTTTCATAGAATTTCTGATCTCTGTTTCTTATTGTAACTTAATCAATTTCTGAATTTTCGGTGTAAGCTTACTGGTAGCCTACGATTCGGAATGTTTTCTGGCTCTGTAAATGGTTAGTTTTAATATCAAATTCCTCAACTTTTCTGCACCCTGATAATGTAAAGGACCCAGACTGATATTAACTTTTCATGAGAATTTCTGATCTGTTTCTTATTGTATTAATCAATTCTCTGAATTTTGGTGTAAGTTATGGTAGCTAGATTCAGGATGTTTTTCTGGTTAATTCATTCATTAAATTTTTGATTGCAGATTTTAGCCATGTTCCTTGGTGCAGTACCATTTTTGAAGAAATTGATCTTTGCAACTGACGCCCCACTTTACTTTTTCACTGACAGTTGCAATATTCTTGGGTATGCTCTGTCACACCTTGCATAGATAGATGCTTACTTTTTTCTGGTTCTTGTCCTTGCTAATGTGTTAATTGGTTACTTTCTGATCTTTCGATTGTATATCAGAAAATGTCAGGTAATTGTTTAGGTTTGCTATTCATAGGATTAATGACATAGTTACTGACATAGTGACATGTTAGTGATAAAAGGACTAATGAAAAACACTGCTTGTGTATCAGGTGAATTTAAGTTCGTAGTGTGATTTAATGTGGTCTTGATATATTCTTGATATATTAGAATTACATAGCACACATTAGGAGATTTTGAAAGTTCCCGCATGTTTCTTGCCCTGCTGTTTATCTGTGGGGGGCTATTTTCCTTTTTAAAGAATGGGATCGGTCTAAGCTTCATAGCCTTCTCTATTTGCTCAAGAAGTAGACTGCACAGAATGTGAGCAAACTCTACAAATACAGTGTTAATAGGCCTCAAACTCAAAACTCTTGCTGAATTGAAGAGCTATCTTGTTCCATAGTAGCATGCATTTGTATCTCCATAGGTTGGAACATTCATTAGGACATAAGATTTAATTTCCCTTAATATATACCTTGTGGATCTGGCTAATATTGCTGAAATAAGTCACAATTTATACTACTCAGATACCCTTGTTTTGCATGCTGAAGCTGTTTCTTTGTAAGTTGATTTATGAGGTTTTGGTCTTGGAAAGTTTTTCTATGCACCATACAATTTCAATTCACTTTCTAAGGTTTTTATCTTTTCGTTTCTTGTGGTCTTAAGGGAGGCTATGGTTCCATGCATTTTGTTAGCATTGGGAGGCAATCTTGTTGATGGTAAGAAGTTAAAACTATCTAAGGATCATCTATCTATTTTGTGATTGTGGTCTAATAATTGGCTACCCATAGGCTTGTTATGTTGAAAGATCTTGCTTCATTGAAAGAAATCTATAATCTTTAAGTCATGTCTGCCATCTTTTGGACGTCATTTTAAATGAAATTCAAAGTGACAGCTCTTGGTTTCACCCACAGGACCAGGAAGTTCTAAGCTCGGTTTACGGACAACTGCAGCTATTATTTTTGGTCGATTAGTTTTGGTGCCTCCGGTTGGACTCGGCATTGTTCTGTTGGCTGATAAGCTTGGCTTCCTCCCTCCTGGTGATAAAATGTTCCGGTTTGTCTTACTTCTTCAGCATACAATGCCTACATCCATCCTTTCAGGTGACTTCCTCTTTCTTTTCCTAGGAGATGCTCTATGGATTTTCAAACGAAAAAAGAAAACAGAAAAACAAGGTAGTTGGACATTGGGACCATAATAGATCCTCATTCCTAGGACAGCATTCACACATTGTCTTCTGCAGCCATTCATGGAAATTGAGAATAGTACAAGAAGTTTCTGTTCTAGCACTGGGGAAAAAAGAGAGACAGAGAGAGGATAAACTTTAACTGATTTAGGATATTTAGGAAATAATTGAACACGTAGAAGGTTCCCTTAAAATCTCACACAACTAAAATTTCATTGTAATCAATTGTTCAAACCATTATTATTGTCGCCTAGAACTTGCCTAATTTTCCAAATTAAGTACTATACTTCGAATAGCATCAACTTAATTATTTGTTAACTGTCTTCAGGTGCTGTCGCGAATCTCAGAGGCTGTGGCAGAGAGGCTGCTGCTGTCTTGTTCTGGGTTCATATATTTGCCATTTTCTCAATGGCTGCATGGGTTGTTGTTTATCTCAACATACTCTTCTAAGCAAGAAAAGTGCAGCAATCTGTCATCGGTATAGACCTCGACTCTTCATTGTGATGTATTTCATATTTTAGTGTTGATAGCCAAGTAGGATAGCAAAAATTTCAAAATTTCATGGGAAGAGAATTGTCAATTTTAGTTATCAGACAAATTTCAAGAATTTGTATCTGCTTCTATATTAATTCAATTGTTTTCTATTTATGACCTTATAGATTGGTCAATTCAATGGGGTTTCTGCAGTAACCCGTTTCCTGAATTTAGTTGTGCAAATGTTTGTTATGTGAGTTTGGGTGATTTATCAACATGATGGCATCACTGCCTGTAATGAAAAATTAAAGAATTTTAAAATGTATTGTTACATAAGATATCCACATTTTATACTAACTAGACCCAAATCCATTTTAAAATAGTCCTATCAGTTAGGGATAAGATATTCGTTTATTCGTTACCTATCAAAGATGGCAAATTGATTATCCATGTCTCCCCTAAAACTCATTTATGGCTATTCAAATTCATAATAAACGGATTGAAGCCCGCTTCCATTATCATGCAAAAAGATGGAAACTTTGTAAATAATATGAAATAAATATAAGGTAGAACCACTCAGAAAATAATCAATCATCAAATATTATCATATTGCTAGTCAATACTATATACAAATGCAACGCTATTCATAATTCATGCATAATATTGCATGCGTTCTTTACAATAATCTGTCTACTTATCCCTTCGCTGATACAAAGACAGCAGCAAAAGTCGACAAAATGAGATACGGATCATTCAAAAACAAAAATTCCCCAAATACTATCCAAACCCCTTTCCAGTCATCAAAGATTGTGGCAAAAATGCTACTTCTGTTGGTAATTAATTCCAATCATTGAACTGTGAAAAAGAAAACAGCACAAGAGCTTGGACCATCTGTAAACATTCAGAAACTTTGCCAGTTCAATTCCCACACTAATGTTGTAAATTGTAACTCCAGGCCAAGCACTAAAAATTTCTAGCATAAGAAGAAATTACCTTACTACTCTTTCCTAAAAAATATCCAGTTGGTAATAATCGTGTATGAATATACTGTATTAGGCTCATCAGTCAAGCATTGAATCATTTAGAAAAAAGACCACCATCTCCGGCTTCTGTTACCCCTTTGGTTGGGAGCAGACGAGCTGGGAACTTGAATTTGATTAATCCCTCTTTCAGGTAAGATGCAATGACGGATTGGTCGTCCTCTCCCTTGAGGATTTCCTAGCCAAAACACAAGAACAATACCAACTAGACTGACAATTGGAGCAGCAGCAGCAGCAAGAAAAAACCATCTCCTCCTGCTGCCTTCTCTTCCAGAGCTACTTACAGCAGGATGCGGATCTAGAACCTGCCTTTGCTCGGTTTCACCAACTTCATCGGCTTCAGCTTCATCTGAGACATCAGAGGAGCTGTCTTCACTTGCATCATCCTGCTGCTGAACTTCATGTATCCCTATTCTATTGCTATTGCTTTGTTTCCCCTCCTCATAGTCTTTATCATCAGTTGGTAGTTCAAACCTACATAGAGGACACGAATTCCGGGTACTAAGCCATGGCAAAATACAGGAAGGGTGATATACATGAAGGCAAGGAAGCTGGTTAACTTCAGTGCCAATGGATAAAATATCCTTGCAAATTGCACAAGTTAAACCATCATGTGTCATATGTTCCTCATTGATGACGACAAGAGGCAGACTATTCACAAAGGACATAGCTGCAGGAGGGGCTCCTCTTCTTGAGTTGTCAGTCTCAGCAAGATGTTGAAGCAATTCCTCAAAGCCTCTTGCATCAAGATAATCCCCAGAATTCCCCACATATCGTGGTACTTCTGATGCTTCCAAGTGAGCAAAGATGTCCCTGTTAGATGCTTGTCTACTTTGCCTTCTTCTCCAGTTAATAAGGGCCTCAAAAGGAGAATCAAACTGCCGATGCCAATTATTAGAGCCATTACCTTCATTTGGACTTGGAATCAAATAATTTTGAAGTTGAGATCCAGCTACCACTGGTTGAATTGTGTCTTCCTCAATATCAGCTTCTTCCCATTCACCATCGTCTTCTTCTTCTTCTTCTTCCTCCTCCTCTTCATCATCTAAGTTCCAGTGGTTGAGACCAGCATGCATTGGATCAATGTCAGTATCACTCTCAAAATTGCTTCCATCATCTGGTTGAATAAACATTTCTGTATCCAGGAAACTATGTCCATCAATAGATACATCAGAGTCCCCTCCATATGCACTAAAAGAAATGGCATCACTATCACCATGATAAGCCCTGTGCCAACTGACGCTGGGAGTGGTTTCAATCTCCCCATAAACAGAATCCAAATTATCAAAGCCCTCACTTTCAGTGTCTGAGAGAACCTGTCGCCATCTTCTAGAACCAGCTGAGGTTGTACGGGAGCTCGTGTGCGCCAACAGTCTAACAGAAGAATCCCCATCTACAGATTGATTGTCATGCCCAGATGCAGTGGAGAGGTTTTGCCTTACCACATTAATCATATGTGATAACTGTTGAGAAAAAAGATTTTCAATTGACTCAGAGCTGCTGTACCTATTTCTTCTTCCTCTATGTGGCCTCCTCTGAAGAGAACCATGGGTGGAATCCCCCACATCTTCAAGGAGCAAAAATTTACAGTCCCCGCATATACTGATATTTTCAAGATCATCAGTATCTGGTGCAAAAATTCTTCTGCACATCACACATGTTGCAGGATGGACAGAATGGTCAGCCACTAAACCACTATCCACATGGCCATGAACTACAGATAGAGGCACGTCCTCAGAGGTTCTCTCCCAGTCCCTGTCCATCTGTAAGTAGACAAAGGAGCAGAAAACTGTGGGACAAAATGAGCAATAGAAAAGAACAAATTAAGATGGACAGAGACATAAATTAAGGTAGGGGACTCCAGTTCCAGAATAATTTTCCATCAAAAACAGGAGATGGTTGAAGATTAATATGACATCATTATTTCAAAAAAGTAAATAAATGCCAAGGACAAGATGGAAACCAAGTCAACATAAAAAGTCAAAAGCATATTCAATTATTCTCTTAGGGAGGTAAGTTATTGATTTTTGGAAAAGAAGCGAGCAATCATTGTTGCCCTCATTTTGAGCAAGATAGTGGGACGACATGGAAAATAATACCCAAAAATGATTGTGTTATGACCACCTATAATTTTAAACTTTGCAGACATTTCACTTAAAGAAATTAAATCTTAATACGTTAGTGCAATGGACCTGCCCTGGACAGCCTACCCAGTCCCCTCAAATATCTTCTATAAAATATCAATGTGACCTATGTTGCATGGGAATGGAACTTGAAATCACGGAAACGGACACGGGGAAATGGTATTTTCAAAAATATAGGAAATGAAAATGTGGGGAAAACGTGTCAATATAAAAAAAATATAGGGTTATATCTATGAATATAAAAAATAAATTATTATAAACCATAAAAAATATTCAATAACATGTTCAGTCCAATCAATATTTAATCATATTCAAAAGGAAAAAAAAAAAATCGTTTACAAGTTCCATACTTATAAAAGTACATGTTTTATGGATTTGTATTTATTTATGTATCTATTTTAATTAGAAAAACGAGTTTCCAAGAATTTTCAATATATGGAAACACATTTCTGAGAGCGGAAACATGTTCCCAAATTATCCAATTTACGGAAACGGTACCGCAATATTTCCGAGGAGTTTCCAGACGTTTCCCTGCGGGAAACATTTTGAAACGGCAGCCAAAGAGAGTTTATGTGCAACATAGAATGTGAGTGACCGAAAGAACTGCTGCTCTAGTCACAAAACTCATTCCCTATAAAGTAATAGAGCCTTCACCACATTAACTTCTATGAAAAGCTTCAGTGAGCCAATCCAACAGCTATTAGATTATTGCTCAGATAAAAGCATGCCAACATAAGATAATGAAAATCACAGCACAAGAAACCTAGATTGCTGGCTACAGCAACTAACCTGTTAACCTTGACAACCAGTATTAGTTAACTTTAACTCAAATTTATCCTCAAGACAGATCCTGGTAAACAGAGGGAATGTCAAACCGCCAATCATGCATCTAGTTGCTCAAAAGTTAAATGGCCAGGAAGTCAAAGATAACCAACAAATAAGGAATATAGAAAAACTGAGGCCTGAATTTATACAGCATTTTAGAGTAATCACATATCCGTACACCTTCAACAAATGTCTTGCTCTCAACACATCCCAACTTTCCAGCCTCTCAATTCAATGTTATAAAAAGAAATCATCAACAAAGATCCTATCACATAGCTTCTAAAGTTGAACAACAAGCCCAATTCAAACAAATTCAAATGACACAGAACCCAATTGATAATTCTCTCTAGCTGAGTTCAATAGCATAAAAGAAATCTTAAAAAGTGAAAAACTTTAAGAATTGAAACAAATTACCAGAAAATCGATTCCAGGCAGGAAAATGCTTCGATCTTCAAAATTCCCAACTCGCCCACCAAAGCCCTAAGATCAAATCACTTAAAAGCCTAAATGATAACATAAACTAGCACAAAATTACTTGAAAAAGCGATTTCAGGGCAAAAAATAGAATAGAAAGACTTGAAATTCCAACCACCTTGATAATAAAAGAAGCTGGGTTGGTGAGAAAATGCTTTCTATCACGAAGAAAGAGAAATGATAGCGTATTTGAGGTCTAAGTCAATTACTATCCTCGTCAAGTGATTATAAGTCGTGTATGTACCCAATTATCTATACAGTTGTATTTCTGTTTGAGGATTTCTTATCGAACAGAGAGGTTCGTTGCAGCCACGACCGAAAACCCTTCCATCCATAATTGAACTTTTGGAAGGATACAGTGGTTTCACGCGCTACTCTGCGCGTTTTGGAAAGGCTAATCGATTGCACCAGCGTATACAACGGGATGCCTCTTTAGCGCTTTATATATGTACCTTTTGTGCTTTGAGACGCGCTCGAACAATGATGGGCATGGAGCCCATGGATGATGGAACCACACCCCCATGACCCCCATCCCGGACGTCGGTTGTGTCTTGTGAAGGAAATTTCGAAATGAATTGAAAACTATATTATTTTCAAAACAGTAATATATATATATATATTATAATATATATATATATATATATATATTCTGTTATTAATGTAAACAAATTTTAAAATTTATAAACAGTTTCAATAGCAATGGTAAAAATGAAATTGTATCTACGTATGAATACATACAAAAATATAAAAGTTAAAGCATAATCATCTTTCTCATAATAGAACGCATGAGTGCATTATTAGTTTTATCTAGTAGTGTGTCTTAATATTCAAGTTTCAATCATAATAATAATAATAAATTTTCTAAAATATTTCTTAGTAGAATAGTTATTATTGTTTTTTTTTCTTACATTTTAAAATAAATAAACCATTAGATTGTAAATCAATTTTGTTTATTAAGAAAATAATGCATTAAAGTTTAAAAAATAAGACGTAAAATATGCCGCTAAACACATATTTACCCCTTTAAACTTTAATAAAATTTTTAATTTACACTTTTTGTTTTGAAATATTTAATTATTGCGTATTCGCTCTTTTTAATCAAATTTTGACGAAGTGTGCACTTATTTAAAAAAATGAGCAAGTGACGTGTTAAGCATCCGTTGACCATGACAACGGTGACGTATCATGTACTATTTATTTGCCCTCGTCAATGTAAAACGGTCCTGTTTCAATTATAAATTGAGTCCTTTTTCACTTATAAGCAGGAGATGACGATGGAGAATTGACATTTAAAAAATAAAAATAAAAAAGATAAACAAATTAATATTACCTTATTGGCGTTAGGAACCAGTTCTTGAAGAGCTTTCATTCTCTCTGCAATTCTCTTACTTCGTAATTGTCCAACAAATAATAATAATATTAACGATGATGTGAAGAATCAAAATGAAACTAGATAATAAGGCCAAAAATCATCCCCTTTCTCTGTAATCCAACCTTCTTTGACTCTTATTTGCTTTCAATTTTAGGGTTAATTTTTGTAAATTCTCTCTAGTTCACTTCTCTTTCTGTGTTCGTTCCTGAAGTTAAAAGGAAAAATCTATATAAATTTACATATACAGTAGCTCCTGTTCTTATTCTTCTTTATATCCCTAGAACAAGAAACTTCCTCTCCAATAATGTTGCGTTTCCTGAGTTTTCACCCATCAAGATCCAATTTGATCTATAGAAAAAATAATGGCTCCTTATTAAAAAGAGAGAATCTTCGATAAAATTTGTGTGTTTCGGGCGAAAATAGTGGGTTTTTGTTAAAATTCGATTTAAGTGAACAATTTGCTTGATTTGGGTTCTTTTGGGTTTGTGATCTAAACCAAAACCATGGCCGTTTCAACAATAGCTTTATATGCCAGGCCACCTAGCAGTGTCTGTTCAGCTCTGCACCCATGCCAAATCAACGCTCATGCGACTTATGATTTTGATTTGAACTCAAGATCTTCATCAATAGCTTCGTCTAGTGCATCTTTTTCACAGAAATTTGTGGTCGGAAGCCTGTCGTGTTTGTTTTCTTCTTCAACTACAAAATATTCCTCGTTTTCAGCCGACAAAGAGGAGTTAGGGTCTATGTGGCGTGACAGCGGAGGCGCTGATTTTTATTAGCGGAACATGTCACTAAGAGTACGGTGAACAGAGCTTGACAAATACGGCGACGTTTCGAAGGCTAACGGCGCACTAATGCCAGACGCACTCAGCTTGTGATCGCAGCTCACGCTTTATCAAATTTTGGTCAAAAGAGCCGCTTGGGCAATACCCACAAAGTTTGGATACGAAATCGTTAAATGTTTCAAAAAAGGGGTTAATTGAAAAAATTGTAAAAGTTCGGGGCCAAAATAGATAGATAGTAAATTAATTAATATTCAAATGATGACAATTGACACTCTTAAAAAAAAAAAAAAGAAAGATGACAACTAATATCAAATTAAACGTACTCTATCCTTTCCAAAAAAAAAAAAAAAAAAAAATGATTAATTGTTAATATGTTCAATATAATAGAGGAGTTAGTGTCGAGTAAGAAAATGGTGTAGCTAAAAGATTGTGGTGGTGGGGCCTAAAGGAAAAGGTAAGAGAATAGTAGTAATAAATTCATGAAATTTTTAACTTTAGGGACATATTCAGGATATAGAATGATGACAATTGACAAAATGGCTTTTGGAAAGAAAAATTAAAAGGAAGAAAGCAATGAACAATAAATTATGGAAAGTCTGTTATGGGAAAATATTCATTAAAACGTAACTCTTCGCTCATCTCTTCTCGCAAAAAAAAAAAAAAAGAAAAAAAAGGTGAGTAAAACACCAGAAGCAATGTTCACTTGTTACTGATGTATAGAAACTAAGTCACGAATAGTATAACACTAGAGAAAAAAAAAAAAAAATCCAAAGCAAAGGTTTATGAAAGATAAATTGAGGAGAGAAGTATAGTCGTGTGAAAATTTCTAAGCACCATTTACACTATTTAAAGATTATAAATCTGTATAAGGTGGTTACAAAGACATACATACTCCCATTATTTATAAATTTCAAGCACTGAAGAATTAGTCGTTCTTAAAACCTTGTCCAATATAGTTTCCTGAAAGTATAGTTGACAGACCACTTATTGGTTTGAGAGATCCGAAAATTCAACAAATTATTAGCCATCATCATTATTTTAAATACTTCTATTCCTAACAAATTTAATTACATATTTAAAATGTGTGTTATATCATGCTTTTATATTTCTCATTTTTATTGTTATTAAATTTACTATTCTGATTATTATTAAATATTTCCTATTTATTTCTTATTATTGAAAATTATAATTTTGAGAGTTCTGCTAAGGCCGCGAAATTTTGAACTGAAGGGATTATAACGAATTTAAGCGGAATTAATAATAATATTGAGAAAGTCTTGTTTGCTTAAAAAAAGTTGTGATATTTTTTGGATTAGATTTTATTAGAAAAAACGGTGTAGCAGAATATTGTGTGAGTCTAGTTTTCCATTAAGAAAAAGAGAAAAACACATAACTTATAGATTCCAACTTTAAAGCAAATAAATTTAAAAATCAGAACATTTTGCCTATATATTGTGGACTATTGTGATATAATCATGATGTGATTGAAGTATTTATAGTTAGGATATATAGGCTCTGCGGACTCATAAAAAATAGAGTGAGAATTAATATTTTCTTTACTTTGATGTTTTGGACTAGAAATTAATTGTTGTTATATAATAAATTCAGTGAACTGGGGCAAATTGAGATTCTCTTCTATACACATTATCGAGGAAGCAATGGCTCATTTAATGATTCGGTGCCTAATACGAGAAACACATATAACAGGAACGTCTCTATTTTATAGTTAGTATATTTTGTTTTGTTTGTGTGTGATATATGGTTAAAAATGCAAATTGGAACCTTATATCGAAAAAAAAAAAAAAAAAAAAAATAGTACAAGACTTTATGTTATGATGTAAAGACAAGTATGAAAGAAAATGAGAAAAAAAAAAAATCAAAATTAGTATAAGTTGTAAAACAAAATTTTAAATATAAATCTCTTAGTGGTTACAAAATACATACTCCATTATTTATAAATCAACTATGAATATCTAAACCTCATATATTTGAAGTATACCATTTTGATCGAAAATAAAAAATTATTAGCCATCATCATTATTTTATACTTCTATTCCTAACAAAAATACATATTAAAGGTTTATATTCATTTTTTATATTTCTATTTATTGTTATTAAATTTACTATTCATTTTTTATATTTCTATTTATTTTTATTAAATTTACTGGACGAATACGATTTATATAGAAAAGTCTTTTTAAATTTTTTTTTGAATTAGTATAAAAACTAGCAATTATTAATTTTTTTAGAAAAAAAACCAAATTTCCATTTAAAGCAATAAAATTTAAAATAGAGCCAAATTGTGGATTGTGATAAATCATATTAAATTTTGAGATTTTATCCATCATAAAAAATAGAGAGAAATTCTTACCTTTTTGAAATATTAAAACGGGCCAAGAGATCCAAAATGCTTGCACATGGGCCTATAAAATACAGGACCATTTTTTTTTTTTTTTGTCTTTTAAAAATGAAATGGACCAATCAGCAATTAACAAAAGGACAAATTGATTAATTAGTTATTATTTATTATTAAAGAGAAACTGGGGGTCCCCTTAGCGGATTCGTTTCTTGTCCGGTTGTGATCTGTCTCACCTACACTGTCTGGTTTGGCAAACTTCCTAAAACCCTCCATTTTTTTTTAATTACAAGCTTTATCCTGTCATTACTTATTTAGATTATGCCATTTTTGTCTAATAATCATGCTACTCTTGCACTCTTTATACCAACATTTGCAGAGATTTTCCCTTTTTTGTTTTTTAATTTTTTCCTTTTTGATTTAGTTATTTAAACATTTAAAGCCCTTATAACAGTCCAAGATACGAAGCAAATAGCAGAATCAATTGGGTTTATGAGTTTTCTTTACTTAGAATTTCCATATCTCTCAAAAATGGAAAATTTAACCAATTCCTAGCTGTATATCGTCAATGTAACTAAACCCTTTCTCTTCTACTACCTCTGCAAGTTCAACAATTTCCTCCATTGATGTACCTTCCCTTATTCATTTTTGTACTTATTTAGTTAAAAAGAAACTTGGGTTTTTGTTGTTTTGCAAAATTTATGCGAATGTGCAGGTGGGTTTTTGTTTTTCTTTTGTTGGGTGTCATTATTTTTCAGGTTTGGAATTATTATGTTTAATGATGGAGACAATGTGGGTTTTGTTGTTTGTTGTTGTTGTTAGAAAAGTACAAATGCGGAGGATGTGGAGAGAAGGACATAGAAGAAGCCCTCGAATATCGGCTTTGGATGCGAGGAAGGCTCAGCCATCGAGGCCTAAATCTTCTGGTGTTCAAAGTAGGTTTAGTACCAACACTATTATTACTAGTACTAGCACTAATTTACACGTGGCAGTGCATCAGCAAAACAAACGCCGTCGTTTGCGTCACGGCGAGGGGCCTGCCTCCCGGACCAGAGCCAAGAAGAAGAGGAAACTTAGACCTCTTCAAGATGTAGCCTCTCCTTTAAGTGCTCAACAGGTTTTGATTTGCTTTATTTATTGATTTTTCTTTATCTATAATTAATTTCATTAATTTGTAGTTGTTTTTGTGAAATATTATCAGTTTGTGGAAATTTTTGTTATTTTTTTCCTTTTCATTGCAATGATTGAGTCGGTGCTGATGCTTACTGTACTTTCACTCGGGATTTTGGTTGTTGAGGGGTTTAAAGAGGGCTTTTAAAGTTATTGTAAAAGTCATTCTATAACAGCATTTTTTAATATTGTGGTGTTTACTTGGGAGATATCAGTAGACCAGGCAGCTGAACAGTGGACACCAACCAATCCTTTGACTCATGAACATTCTTTTGTTTTATATGATCATATTTTACTGTTCTGTTTTTATGTCTCCTTTTTAATGTTTGGTTGTGGATTTCAAGGCATTGGCTCTTTCAGCAGCTTTCCACCCCACTCCTACCCCCCCTCCCTAATTTTTCAAATTTTATTGCTATTAGTTTCCCCAAAGTTGCAAGGCACTCAGCTGTATTAATCAGGTTGAAGAAGCCTTTAAATTTTTATTTTTTGATTTGTTTGTTTCCAAAATTCTAGCACTGACTCAATGCACAACGCTTAGTGTGTAAATTGCTTCCTAGAGTGGTAATAGCCATCAATATGTATTTCTTCATGATTTAATCGAGGTTGCTTTGGGTCTTTCTTTCCTCAAGATCCTAGGAGTTGTGCAGATAATATAAAATCTCTATTATCTTCTGCGAGTTTTGGTTTCAGGATCTCAATAATGATGAACAGGATGAAATGCAATCAAGCGATGGAGATGTTGCACTAAATGATGGTTTGCCTTTTGCTCCCTCCAAGATGTAATTATAAATTACTTGCTTTCAAATTGCACTTAAATTGACTGGATGCTTTGTTTTCCCTATTGAACTAGATAAAGTCATTGTGCAAAGTAAAGATAGCAGAAAACATGGAGATCAAGTTACCAATCCGGGTTACCTTCAGTTTCCTTGTTCAAACAATCAACCTTAGATATTCAATTTCCTTCATTTCTGACTTTAGTTTCTGTTATATCAGACCAACCACATACTGTGCCATTTGCCTCACGAATGCCAGAAAAGCGCATACTGGAGCTTATCCTTGATGTATTACAGAGGTCAATAATTTTCCAAAACAGTTGACATTATTTCAAATAACAAGGAACATGAGCTCATAAGAATTGACAAAAAGTTTTATCCCTGTCTTGATCTTTTTTTTTTTTTACTTATTTCATATTTTAGGAGAGATAATCATGAAATATTTGCAGAACCAGTTGATCCAAATGAGGTTAGTATCAGTTAATGGTTGCCTTTTCATATATCACTAATGATATTTTCCCTTTCTTATTCATTATGTTGCTCTTCTCAACCCCCCTCTATAATTAATGTTTTCCAAACAAGTCAGTTCTCGCTATCTATTATTCATCATTATATAACAGAGCAGAAACATATGTAAACTCTTAAATAAGAATGTACAAATATAAAGTTTTGAGAGCTCATTGGAGAGTTCTTCTCTCTTTCTTCTACCTTTACTTTAATGTTCATATTATTAGGGGAGAGATAATATGAATGTTGCTCAGATATCTCCATGATGTCGAAATTCCAAATGAAGGTTTAGTATTCATGTAAATGGTTGCCTTTTCAATATAATCACTAAAATGATATATACATATTCCTCCCTGTCATTATCATTATGGTTGATACGTCTCCGTGCGGAACAAGCCCCCCCCCATAGTCCCCCACCCCTTCGCCTCTCTCGAAGCCTATACCCACCTAAATAAGGTTAGACGCGATTCGGTATCTATGATATATTCATTCAAAGAAGCCAAATAGGTTATTTAATTTGAGGACATAATGGACGATGCTTAACCTTATCTTTATGATGGTGGACATGGTATTAGGATTAGTCATTGTATCAAGTTTTGAGGTTTATTGCTTTTCATTCTCAGTACTTACTATCTTTCTACTTTAAAGTTCCCAATGGTAAATTTTGTTTTTTGGCGTTGGTGGTGTGAATATAATTTTTTGCCATTCAATAAAAAATCCACCAAATAAGGTAGAGGATTACTATGAAATCATCAAAGAGCCAATGGATTTTGGGACAATGAGAGCTAAACTTCATGAGGGAATGTATAGAAGTCTTGAACAATTTGAGGTTTGCTTCATTCTCAAGTATTACTTCTACTTTTAGTTCCCAATGTAAATTTGTTTTTTGGCGTTGGTGTGTGAATATAATTTTGCCATTCAATAAAAATGAAGCATCTCTTTGTCATGCAGCATGATGTATTTCTAATATCCAAAAATGCAATGCATTTTAATTCATCCAGTACAATTTATTTCAGACAGGTATAATCGTTAAATCTCTGCCAAAGTTCTATGGTACTACTGTTATAATTCTCTGCCAAGATAGTTTACTATCTTGCCTTCAATGGAATCTCAATCCTTGTTTTTGCAGGCTCGTGCCATCGATGAACTAGCTAAAAAGGTTTTTTGTGTTCTTAAAACTGATCCTGAAAATTTTGAATTGGAATTTTCGGGATCAAGACGAAGAAATACTAGAAGACCTAAAGGTGAAGCTAGGAGTTCAACTTACAGCTCATCTTCTAAGCCTGCCACAAATTCAAGATCTAACAGTGCAACACCCACTGTACCTCGAAAACCTATTCTCAGTTCAGCAAGCAGTATATTGAATTTAAGAACAAAAACGCAAGTAATGCCTTGCTACACTGCTAGGGGTATTACTACCCTATCTGACATAAGGGAGGATGAAGTGCCTTTTGGTAAGAAGTGAATTCAGGTCTGACTTTCTGAGATACATTTTTCATGTGTTCTATGGAATTTGTTACTCATTTTTTGTTAGTTCTATGCCAACAGGTGGTGGGGATGGTAGAGGATCTAACTCTTCTGAAGCAAATAGGCGTTCTACCTATAGACCTTGCTTGTCTATCCTTGATGATAATTATTCAATTGTTTCGAAAATTTATAATAACTCCAAACTGCTAATGCATGTAAGTGATTTTCCTTAAATATCATTTCTTACTTTATCTATGCTTACTGGTATAAAGACGTTACCAATTAAATCGGATGATTTTTTCTCATTTTTGTAGGTGAATCAGCAGGATATTAATTATAGGAAAAGCTTAAAGTTGTTTGTTAAAGATTTAGGGCTAACAGCCCAAATGGTCGCCCAACGCAAGTTAGATGGATGGTCAATTGAAGCTACCAATTATATGACTTCAGCTTCAAATTATTCCAAGACTCCTAACTGCAAAAATGTGACATCCAGCTTTGACCAATGGATATCGTCTACTGCAGATGCTCCAATTAAATGGTCTCAAAGTATAAGCAATGGTAACAGAATAGACATGTGTGATACTAATAAAGGGGATATACCTCATTCTGGTGATAAAATAAGTATCTGTGGCACTTCAATGGAAGCAGCATCACATGGTAATCAGAGAAGTATCTTTGGTGCCACTAGACTGGAAGCTCAGAGCAGGAACAATATGGATACAGTGAGCAGTAGGATTCATATTGGTCCACATTCATCCATCATCAGTGCAAGAGATCCGAATTTCTTGGTTGCTAATTTGAACAACAAAGAAAAGATGCATGAAAAGTCACGATCATCAGATTCAGATTCAAAATATTCTAACTCAAATGTCTTAGAACACAGGTTAAGCGATAATTGCAGCTTTTCATCACCTTCATGGCAGCTAGACACCATGACTGCAGGCGCATCAGGTTTTGGTCAAACCATAGGCTCCACGAACAATCTTCAATCACGACACCTGAGAAGTTATGATCAAGCTACAGCAGGCCTCCTAGGTGTAACTCAAGAAATTTGTAGTTCATATGAGACAGACATGGCATTGAAATCAAACCACAGCTTGACACCAGTTTCCCAATTCATATTTGATCTACCCTTCTTGAAGACGCAACTTGATCAGATGAATTCGGTGGGACCGGTTAGATTTCTGCAACAGAGCTCAGATGGCCAAGTAGGATTCCTGGATAGAATGAGTGAGACTTACCACCATGATAACCAGCTTACTAGCTTGGCTCTTCAGCTGTAAGTAATTAATATGACAAATACAGTTCTCATTCTGAAAACCAAAGTATCCTTCTAGAACTTGTAAATAGACTGCCATTCTATTGCATCAGTTCAAGGCTTCGTTTGGTTTTGGTTGAGGCATTAGTTGCTGCAAATGCATTTCTTTCCTTTTTTTTTTTTTTTGCTTTTAAATGTTTTTTGGTAATGATTTAGTTAAAAGGGTCAGAGTGTTGAATTTATCACCCAATAAACAGGTAATAAATTGTTATCAACAATTGATCCATGGTTGTCAGTTTCTAAAGTAGGAAAGAATTAACCTTTAATATAAGAAGAGGCAGTTTGCCAGTTCACACTTACGGGTATACGGTCCCACCCATAGTCAAATAAGATCAATTTTTAAAAAATTATTATTTTAATTGATTTGATTTATGGATGAGTCGTGAACTTAATATAGAAAAAAGAGTATTACTATTAATTTTTTCAGATTTTTTTTTCCGTTATGAGATATTTTTGGCTAATAAGAAATGTATTATAATATTGCTTTGAAACGTGACTGCAATTTAAGCAGACAATTCCAACAAATACTCATTATTAGAATTTATAATCACGTATTTCAGATAAAGTTTGATGATCACGTCAAGAAAAGAAAAGGAAAATAAGATGATGTTGATGTATCTATGAGTTGTATAACACGTAAAGAGAAATATGTTAGCTGATCGATCGAGATTGATGCCCCACTTCCAACAATTTTTGAGTTGTAAATTCTTGTGCTGCGTTTCTTATAAAACAAATGCAAGTACTTAAAAAAATTTAAATCATATACTATTTTTTATTAATTTAATTCTGATAAATTCAAACTCAAGATTTCTTTTAGCTCAAAGACAACTAGAGGTTAATAGAAAAATCAAACAAATCAACTGAATTAAACTAATTCAACCTTTCGTATAATCAATTTGATTTTAACTTTGAATATAAATAATTGACTGAAAACTCACAACCTAATATTAATTAATTAAATAAAATTCATTAATAACTATTAATTAAAATTATAAATATAAAGCATTATTTTTGAACTTGACGTGGTGGTGGTTAAAAGATTTTTCCTGAATATCACTTTCGAACTCTTAATCCTAGCATGTACGCTATATGCTAAAAATAAAACCATAAATATACCATATCAATCTCAAAATGAGAAATAGAATTTGAATTCTATATTTGGAAATGTTATTGAGATTAATATATTTCTGCAAAATATTAGAGGTTAGAAATACAAATACCAAAATGTATATTTTGAAAATGCAAAGTATACTAGACGGGAAAAATAGTGAAGTCAACAGATGGAGGAGTACAAACCGTTGGATTGTATTAATAATGTATAATAAGAAAGCTTGCAAATCGGACGGTATACGAAGCTCGAAAAGCATGCAAAGGCCGTCACCTTAGCTGTTTCTTTTCTGGTAATTCTCTTTCATGGAAGATGGTTCACAGACGATAAAAAAAGGAAAAGTTCGTTAGACAAATCCAAAAACAGACGCCTCTTTTAATTTTTCCAATTATTTCTTTTTTTGATCCCATTTGGCGGTAGTGTTGTTGTTGTTGGTGCTGGTGGTGATTACCTTCTCTTCCTTCCCTCTTCCTCCAATCTGTCATCGCGGTGGCAGTCGCGGTGGCAGTTGCGGTGACCTTGACGGGCAAGGCGGCTGTGGTAGCTGCGGTTATTCGTCGAATCAGCAACAGAGACAAAGAAGAAGAAGAAGAAGAAGAAGAAGAAGAAGAAAAAGAAAAAGAAAGACAACACGATGGCGTATAGGAGAAGGCAAGGAATTACAAGAGCATCAACCTTCAAAGAAGAGATATATCGCGCATCAGAAAATGATAACAAGGACGATATGAAAAGTAATAATTTTTTGAAATCGTCGCATACTTTTAATTCCTCCTCTACTATATCTGCTCAAGCGTCTCTGGCAGCTCAGGCCATCAGAGCTTCTGCCGCTCATCGTGAATCGTCTCTTTCCTCTGCCTACGCTGGAGATCCTCTCCCTCAGCGATCTAAGGTTCAATTTTTTTTTTTTCTTTCATTTCTTTTTTCATAGAAAGGGTTGGTTGTATTTTATTTGGATCTCATTTCTTATTTTTATTGCGAGATTTTGGCTCCTAGATATATATTTTTTTATTTTATTTTGGCTTCTCTATGTTTTGTAGTTATCTAATAATATTTTGAGTTCGTTTCTCTGTTATTGGTGATTATGTCTGCATTTGTACATGATTCTATGGATAAATAGATCAGAATATTTGCCTTTCGAAGGAAAAACGCTCTGTTCTTGTTTTGTTTCGACTGTGTAATCAGATTCATTGAAGAACCCATTAAAAAATAAATTGGATTCCGTTATCTAGATGGATAGGTAAATTTAGTATTTTGATTAATACATTCTATTGTTTAATTATTAGCTTTGGTTAAGAAGCTTTGGGCTTTATAAGATTTTGTTCTATCCGGATTTTATAACTCATGCCTGTCTCTGTTTTTTACTGTAGATTAGTTGGTTATTAGAAAATCTCTATTTGCATTTTTCGTATTTAACAATGGAAATTTGTTTTCTCTTTCTTTAAATCTGAAGTGAGGCCTGAACATGTAGGTCTTTGATGCATTTGAAGATTCATCAGAGAGAAATGATTCTAGAGGGTTTTGGGGTGTTCTTGCTAGGAAAGCCAAAGCCATTCTTGACGATGATAATATGTCCCAACAATCAGAAACAACGACAAGATCAAGGTTCAATATCTCAGATAGCTCTGGCAGCCAGGTAATTTGTAATGTCTAATATTTCTATCTATAATGCAGCAAAGAAAATTTACACAAAATATTGAAACAATACAAGGTCAATGCTGTAGTAGAATTGAGAACCACTGTAAGTTAATCCCTTGTATTTCTTACCTAATTACAGTCTCAACAATCAAACGTAACTCCAGAGGGAGCTAAGAAAGTTGATATACGAAAGGGATTGGATAAACTTTCATCTTCCCTTAATCAGATTGGGGATACCTTTGAGAAGGCTTTTGAGGTGAGACATTCTTATTTGTTTTTATGCTCAATGAGTATAAACAGATTTTTTTTTTTTTTCCACCTGTCTGCTTGGTGGTTCAACTCTAGGCAAGGATATGCATAATTTATATTCTTGTTTTCCCATTTGCTCTTCCGCTTTATAAGGTTGCTATTTTGGTATGTATTACGGAACAAGATAATGATTACCCATTGTAGAATCATTTAAATTGCTGCATTTTCTTTTTAATTTTCTTGTGATAATTACCTGGGTTTGCCCTTATGGCTCTTTTAAGTGTGATTTGTTAGCAAAAGTAAATTGGTCAATTAGGGGCAAGTCTATCCATAAGTCGACTTTGGAGATTTGAAAGAGGGGGCTAGCACTCCAATCTCCATTTCTACCAAGAAAAGAAAAAGTTATTTCCATTTCCTAATTATGTGAGAAGCTATGAGATCAGAGCTCTCTCTCAAGTTTTTTGTTCTAGGTTGAGTTTAGACTGGAAATGGCAATGATGGAATTCTTCCTTTGTTTCTGTCCTTTGGTTTCCTTTCAGTAATTAGATTGAAACAGGAAATGAGTAAATAACTGAAACACACAGAAGTGACTTTGGTTGCATGTTTACATATGCTTCACTCACTAGTTTAGTTATAAAAATTATATTTTCTTGCTTCATCGCTCCTTCTTCATCCAGGAAGGTCGCACTCTCGTGGAAAATAAGACTGCGGATATCATCCAAGAGACCCGCAAACTGCAAGTTAGGCGAAAAGGAAGCAATGTCGATGTTCAAAATCTAGCCCCTGGTGAAAATAGTTCGTGGCAGCAACCCATGATGCAACGTAATCAGCCACAGAGTCAAATGAACCATGAAACTCAATTGAAGGCATCTCGCGACGTAAGGTGGCAACTATGTATTTGTGGGACACTGGTTCATCTGGCAATAATTTTAAATGTGTTATTTCAGAAAACAAATAAAACTTGATTTATGAATTCACTTCATGTTACATGGGAACGCCCCCATCAAGCATGAAGGTCATCATACTAGCAAAAACATAAGGGCTATAACATTTCTTAGAGTAAAGCGGGTAAAGGTAGAACATGGTTTTGTTTCATTCTAGGCTATATCAATGGTTCAGACTTCAGAATTTATTTTAGCAGTAAAAACTGACTAACTTATGCTGTATCTTTGGACAATGTCGTCTAAATGAAGGATACCGATCTTAATAGTATCCTTTGCAATTATCAACATTGGACCAAAGGGGAATAATGATGGGGGGAGAGTGTGATTAGTCTTGTTTATTTCTCCTAGCTGGTGAAATGCATGATTGGCCTGTCTTTTGGTTTACAGGTTGCGATGGCAACTGCTGCAAAAGCAAAACTACTTCTTCGAGAACTGAAAACAGTTAAAGCAGACTTGGCCTTTGCAAAACAAAGATGTTCCCAACTAGAGGAAGAGAATAAAATGCTAAGGGAGAGTCATGAAAAGGGAGGCAACCCAGCAGACGATGATTTGGTATTTTTTAATTGCATTAACTTGTTTAGTTTATCAATAATCTTTAAATAAAAATTTACTTTTTGGTAGTGTAGGTGGTAACCTTAAGCTGATTGTTCATACATTTATGTCCTAAGGTTAAATTTGATTTGTCTTAATTGATGGAATATAATATAACCAAATGTATTTTTAGTCAAAATTCAGATTACATTGCATTCTGTTGCATTAAAATTTTGATTAGGTTTGGTTAAGTTTGATTAAAAATTTATTTGACTGTATTCCATTGTATTCTGATATATACAAAACATAACCTTAAGTTTTATAATTCTTATAGGAGGCTTGCTTTCACATTGATGTATCTTTAATTATTTAACTTGTGGTAGATTACTGCTGTCATGCTTAGCTTCTATGTGATTTATATTATTCATGACCCCTGACCTCAGATTCGCCTTCAACTGGAGACACTTTTGGCTGAGAAGGCTCGTTTGGCACACGAGAATGCCATGCATGCACGTGAGAACCGGTTTCTAAGGGAAATTGTCGAGTACCACCAACTCACCATGCAAGATGTTGTGTATTTAGACGAAGGCAGTGAAGAAGTCACTGAAGTTTACCCTTTTACGAAGATTCTCTCTATATCCCCTCCGTCACCCATTTCTCCATCATCACCTTCTGAGATTACTGCATCTGCAAGCCCACCGACAACAAGGGAAATATTTCCTGCCCCTAGGACACCGCAAGTAACACTTGAGGCTCCGGGGAATGATATCCCAACAAGTTCACTTACAACCGTACTGGAGGAAGCAGAGAAAGAGAACATCCCAGCACACAAGGAAGAAGAAGAAGCAAAAGATACTCCACTACTCGAGGAAAATGCAAAAACAAACACAAAACCATCTGCGTAAAATCAAGCTGTTCTATTGTTCATTAACATGAAGAAATTTTGTGGGATATTGATCCTAATTTTTCAGTTTTCTTCCTTTGTTTTTTATTTGGAGGAGGAAGGGTGTGGGAGAGTTTTCTTATTTTGTCTTTTCTCTTTTCTCCCTGATTTTTTCTGAGCACAGCATTTGTTATTATTTTGTGTATGTATTTGCGAATGCAGCTTTATTTGATATCAAATAAAGTCTAATTTTCCTTGTTCAGATAACGAATTTGTCTTTGGAAACTTTGTTTAATTACGTAACCCTCTCAGATATATTTGTTCACAAATATGCAATTTAGTACCCTAATTCAGATATATAAAAATTTGGTCATGCCACAGCATCAGACTATCACAGTCAACTTATGTAGATTACGTTTTCTGTTAACAGAGTCAGAAAACATCGTGACGACTCCTTTTGAAGTTAGAACAATATTCTCTCTGATTAATAGTTATGAAAAGCGGATTATTATTTTTCTTTCTATTTTTTTTTTTTTTTTTTTTTTAATTACGTAACCCTCTCAGTATATATTTGTTGCAACAAATATGCAATTTAGTCCCTAATTCCAGATATATAAAAATTTTGTCATAGCCACAGCAATTCAGACTTAATCACAAGTCAAACTATGTAGATTACGTTTTCTGTTAACAGAGTAGAAAACAATCGTGACGACTCCTTTTGAAGTTAAGACAATAATTCTCTCTGATTAATTAGTTATGAAAAGCGGGATTATTATTTTTCTTTCTATTTTTTTTTTTTTTTTTTTTTTTTGAATTGTTTTAATACTTTTTTTTTTTTTTTTTTTTTTGAATTGTTTTAATACAGAATTTATCCTACGATTATATATGTCCAGTTTCTCTATGATAAATAGTACACTTCCTCGTGATTTTTTTTTTCATCATAATATTTAATTTAGATGCTTAATCCAAACCAATACGATATTTATAATTTCATTCGTCATTGGATTGATTTTCGCTCATCTCCAAACAAAGCCTATCAACCAACACAAGCTCTTCATACAAAGGCTTCAGATCCATATTATTATAAAGTCAATCCAATCAACCATCAGATCAGACAGTAACCAGGCTAGTTCGCTTACAACCAAGTTCATGAAATCTAATCAGACGATTTAACAATTATTGATGTCTTATTAACAAGAGAATATGTACAACTTAAAGAGGGGGGGAAAAGCCTTTCATTTATGGTAAATGGACATTGACAATATAGTGTAATTCCGAAGAGGAACTGTCTTTTAAGGGCCATTAGTTACATTCAACCTTTCTCAATACAACAAAGGAAAGAGAACCAATTCAAGTTCCATCTACTTGCTTCTGTTCAATTTCCTTGGTTAACTAATGAACAAACCATAGACAAATAGTCTCGCATATACCTGTATATATCTCTCGCTGATCAGGAAGAGGCAAGCTTCAGTAACTGTTTGGAGCTCTAAAGCAGAAAAAACTACTTTCGATTTTTACAGTAGAAAAATTTAGAATATCTGGAAGAACAAAGTGGTTGAACCATCACCAAATGATTTGAGATCCGCAGGTTTCACCAAAGCCCTGCACAAAGGACATGTCCTTTCCCTCTCAAACCTAGAATCAGAATATGCCAGTAAGTTAAAGTTATTGTAGTGAAACCATCATGTGCAAACAAACAGAAGCACAACTACTTGCAACTTATTATCATAGAGCACGCAACTAACCATTCTGATACACAATCTTCGCAAAATATGTGTTTACAACGAAGTAGAATGGGAGCGTGCATCTTCTCCTGACATATAGCACACAGGTCTCCTGCTGCATTGACCTGCATTACATACCAGTCGCACAAGTTGATGCAAATTGAATTTAAAAAAATTGCCTAAAAAATAAAAGGTGGTCCTCTTTCCGAATGGAAAAAGACCAGGGACACTTTCTGATCTAAATTTAAATTCCTCTATAATCAAATTAATGAATTGTCCCAAAGGCTAAGAATAGTGTGGACGAACAAATGATGATGAAGCAGGAAAAAATGAAGTTCAAATGATCGTGACACTGCTTTGACCAAGTTTTATCTAGTCAGATTAATTAACAAGTTTTCTGGTATAAGAGGAAAGCTGAGCTTGAACTTGAATCTACAATCTTTACCCACTCCTATGACTACATGAGCTAGCCCAGGAGGCATTATACTTTGCTTCAGAGAATAAAGGAGAAAGTAAGGAGAATAAGGGAAATGGGGGAAGGGCGCAGAAAGTTGGTGAGGGGAAGAAAATTTTGAAAAGAATGTCTTCCTTACTTGTGTTTGGATGGGAGGGAAAATAAATTTTCCTTTAGCAAACAAACCTAAATCAAATAGTAACTATTATATCTCTATCTATAATTTATTTATAGTGTGTGTGTGTGTATATATATATATATAGGTGAGAATAAGGACGGAGAACATTGAAATTGCCAAAACGCCCCTACTAAGTTTATAAATTGACAAGGACGGGAGAACATTGAAATTGCCAAAACGTCCCCTACTTAAGTTTTATAAATTGACAAAAATTCTTGAAGATTTTAAATTTTTTTGGTTGGAGAAAAATGTGTGTGTGTGTATATATATATATATAGGTGAGAATAAGGACGGAGAACATTGAAATTGCCAAAACGCCCCTACTAAGTTTATAAATTGACAAAAATATCTTGAAAGATTTTAATTTTTTTGGTTGGAAAAAAAAAATTAATTTTGATTGGTTATATTAATTTCTATTTAGATTTAAATTCTATAGAATAAATCCTTTAGCAAATAGCTGGTATTGGATCATGGACCTTCAGTAAATGGCATGTGAATATCATAATGCACTGAAATCATTATGCTTCATTATTATGGCAGGAGAGTCATATATTCTGAAGTAAAACTGTTAGGACATGCAGATAAACTGTTATTGGCGTATACCATACCCCTGCAAGCTTTTGACCATTTTCAAAAGGCATAACTGACATCTTATCCTTAGCCTTCCCTTTCTCATGAAACAATCATAAATAGCAGACAAAATGTAATAACATGCATATAGACATATGCATATCATGCAAAACACAATATTTCAAGTAATATACATCACAACTCCAAGCAAGAAAGGATATTTTTTTTACCTGCTCTGATGTTGCATAGGCCCCATAATGTACCTCTTTACGTGATAACGCCTTCAAAGCAGCAAAGAAGGATTGCACCTGCAATTTACCAAACAAAGTGAGGGGCATAGACAAGGAAGCATACAAGTCAGAGGTAAGAAAATATAATGAGAGATACGTGCCAAGCGTAGCACAAAGACCTTCAACAAAAAGATAGAATGTCGGCACATAAACAAGAAACAAGGAAAATAATAGATTACAAAGTCAGAAAAGCTTGTACCTTTTCAACAACAGAAGTGAGCTTGAAAGTCAAATACAACCCAGTCATTAGTGATGAGAAGAGGCTCCCATATTCCTTATTCAAAAAGAAACGGTACCAAACTGGTGTTGGCAATAACGCACGGTAGAGCAGCATCAGATATTCAACCAAAGTTAGCATTTGACCCTGGAAAATAAGATGACTAATCAGACGACCACTATATAAATTTGTAAAATAAAGTAAAGAAAAGAAAGAAATATCTCTCTTTATTATTTATTTATTTTTTCATCAGTCGAAGGAGGATTTCTGTGTTCTGATCCCTTTTAAAACCAAACAGAGACCAAATAAAACTTTGATACTTGCTACAAATTATCTCACCTGTTTACGATAATTCCGGCCTCTACTGTTCTTGTAATACATTAACAGAATACATTTGAACACCATTGCTGCCTGCCTGACCAAAGTATCTGGAGAGGACAAACATTATGAAACTGGCTAAAGCAGACAGAAAATGAATAGATATTGGCGAAAGTGCAAATACTACTATTCTGAGTACAAAAAATGTGACTGGAACTGATTTAATGAAGGATAAAGTTTTTGAAGAAAAACCAAAACAAAAAAGGCAAAATATCAGTAGGAATATTTGTGAGAGGACTGAGCAAAAATGCATGCAGTATGATATAAATACTGTTGATGTCAAAATCTCTCTACAACATTACAGCATATAGTGCATCTTTAATCATAGTGACATTAATAATCTGCAAATAATAACATACCATTGACCATGATGATGAAAATGGCATGCCAAAAGGGTGGTATAGATTTGGGAGGGAGCATGATTAATGGATACAAAAGGTCATCATTCTGATACCACCAGTAAACACCAACCACATGAAGCGTGAACGCAAGGGAGATGCCAATCAAGACTGAGATTTTCCTCTCCCCCTGCAGCCACAAAAATTTCAATGCTCAAATAATCATACTGTAGTATCTAAAAAGAACTATGATGTAGCAAAAGTCCATTAATTCAATTCCCAAATTGACAACAAAATATGCACCTTCAGAGCCGTTTGTTTCCTTAGGATATCATTTGACTTGAACATGACAACAGCAATCCAAATTGTAACAAAGAAACCTGTAATTCCTTAAAGAAAGCCAAATGTCACCACTTAAATAACAAAATGACTAAAGCAAAAAGAGAGAGAGAGAGAGAGAGAGAGAGAGAGAGAGAGAAGCAGAAGGAGGAGGGGTTCAGAAATGCACTCTTTAAAGGTCATAAAATTATAAAAAGAAACTCCAGCACATGTATTCCAAGTCAGAGTTGAAAGACTTTTAATGCCTAGGACAATGTTTAATAATAATAATAATAATAATAATAACAAAGACACAAAATGCAAAGAGCACACTGAATTCCTGATAGATGTTTTGACATAAATAAACCTGAGAAATGAGAAAAGCCAAGTGGAAATAAATAGTTATTCAATTAAAGAATAGTAAATAAATCTTTAAGCCCCAACTTCATCCCTCTACTAATAAATTCCTAATTCGAAGGAAAACACAATCAGAAAAGGTGGCATTATCTAATTGTATTTAGTTTCTCTTCGAGATTGCTTTCGAAACTGATTTTTGGAAAACACCAATTAGACGCTTTATCAGAAGTTGTTTTGAGCAGCTATAGAGTTTTTATGATTAAAACAATGCTAAATGTATCTTCAAATAAATAATTTAGGCAACAACTGTGCACTTTTTTCTTTAATAAATCCTTTAGATTAGGGGGTTCTCTTCTCCATTATTCTCATTGGATGATGGATTAGAGTTAGTTCCTTGGTTAGATCAACCACAAACAATAATTATCAAAATTAAAATGGCAAAGCACCTATTCAGCACATAAAGGGCAATGGGAACATGACACTGAATAACAAAAGGTGAACAAGTTCTGGTGAGATAAAATAACCATCATATAGCGGCAAATGACAAATGGTATGCATGAATAAGGACAAAATACATTGTCATTTATCTGGTGCATATGGAATTAGTATAAAGTTTAACACAGAAATATAGTTCTATCATCGGTAAATCAATTAACACAATTGTTAAATAATGGACCATAGGGTGAAGAGATTACAAAAATTGTGTCATTTGGAGAAGTTTTTCCCTATTAAGTCGGCCAATCCGATTTGTAAACATTAAAACAAAGCAGAGCTATAAAGAATAATACCTTGCAAATGCTGGCGGATGAAGACGACCAATAGAAGCAAAGAGAAAGGAAGGACTTGCTCAATCCATCTGGCAGCTTGTTGAATATCATATCTCTGGTAAGAAGAATCCCTTCCATTAGCCCCACTTCCATCGGCAGCTTCCCCATCCCCACTTGCATTAGAAGGTTGCTGAGTAGCACCTTCTCCGGTCCCACGATCGTTTCTAGAATCTCCCTGAACATCTGACGCCATTCCAGGCATTGGCTGCTGCACAGAAACCTCACTCTGAGCACCCAACTGCCCGACCACCAATCCAGACCCTTCTCTATCATGCTCATGTTCCCCTGCACCGATTATCCTAATAGCAACCTCCCCATTATTAGCTGCCGCAGACGCTGTAGAATCATCAAGCCTATGGTTATTCTGAATCCCACCAGAACCGGTAATCAAAGGGTCCGTTTCTTGGTGAGTTGACCTGGTGGCGGTTCGTAAAAGACCCGAATACTCTAACAAGGCAGAAATCGGTGCCTGGATAATACTCGAAGCCGATAGCATTCCATATCTCCTGGAATTACTACTACTTGTACTACTCCCTCCCGAAGAACCTCTATACGTATCGGAATTACTACCGGACGCTTCCATCTGCGCAGATGCCCTAACCCTAACCAGAACCATCATATACACATCATCACCCTATCAATCAACCAAACAAAATCCTAAACAAGAAAATTGAATAATATAATAATATAATCCAAACAAAAACCAGCAAAAATTGAATCAATAAATAATACCTTCGAAGGCGAAACTCCGTTGAGATAAGAAAAAGAAGAATACGATGACCACGTCGATGATGAAGAAAGAACAAGAAGAAGAAGAAGAGAATTATCTCATTCGTAGAAACCCTAAACCAAAAGACTAATATTAATAAATTTGATAGAAAAAGTCAAAGAGGAAAGCCTCGTCGTTGTAATTTGACTATTGCCATTTGATAGGCTGAATCTGAGCTTTTCAAAATCTGCGATCGATTTGACCCAGAAATGGTTGAAGGAAGACGAAAACGAAGACGATCAGAATTTATGGAATTGATTAAGGTATTGGCCTTCGATTTCTTTTTTTTTTTTCTTTTTTTATATTTTTTGTTTTATGGTTACCTTATTTTCTTTTCCCTTCTCTGTTTCTCGCTCAATAGTGGCGAGAGAGAGAAAGAGAGAGGTGAGGAAAGAAAGATAAAAGAAAAGAGAAATGAAAGAGCAAATGCGTAAATACGACAAACAAACAAATGCGAGTTGGTCTCTCCAATGGGGCCAAACCAGCGGTTCCGGTTCATGGAACCGCTTTTCTGATCCTTGAAAACTTTAAGAACTAAATCGGCTCAGACTTTAGTTATGATTTCGATTTCAATCTCTTTCTTATCATTGAAGAAACCAGCCGATTCTAGTCCAAACCGGATCAGGCCCATATAACCTAATCTTTTCATTTAATTGAAAGGCATTTTTCCGCTCTGCTTACATTATTACATCAATTGTTTCTTTAATATTATTATTAATCAACCACTTAATTATATAATGATCTAATTTATCTTTTAGCCAAATAAATAAAATATCTTGAAATTTATAAAGAATTTATTAGTTGTGGGGAATTTGTTAATACGATTCTATTCAGAAGTCAAACAATAAAAAAGATATATATTTTATTTCTGATTCCAATTATTTTCTTTAGCACATCTATATTTATATTTAATAACGTGCATTACTAATAATAATTCACTCATTTCTTACATAATTAGATAAAATAAAAAGAGCGTAAAGAAATATATATTTCAAAATAGATAGATGTTAACAGAGTAAAGTATTAGACATTAATAAATTAAATATAGGTTAACAATGTAAATGATCTTACATTAATAAAAAAAAAAAAAAAAGGGCATATGCCTTAACAATGTAACAATATAGAGACTTGGTGATAAAAATTCAAAATTATATTGTAATAAAAAATTTAAACAATTAATATACATATATATATATATATATATGATGACGTCATATTTTATATTAGTACAACCGAGATCCCCAAATGTTTGGAAGTTCCTCTATTTAATTATTTTCCTTCTTCTAAAAAAAAATTTAATAGCCAATAAAAATAAAAGTTATTTGATAAAGTAAACAAAAATAAAATACGAATTGTAAAAAACCTCAAATTTTGTTATTAACACATTTTGTTGAATTATTGCTCTAGTTAGAAATAAAATAATAATTTTTTTTTTTTATCATCAATTCGTATTTCATTTTATTAAGTGCATATGCAACTTCTTGGTCATTCAATAAAGAAATTAACTCCTAACCGCTTCTTCTCAGTCTTCACCATTCAACAAGAAGCAGCAATTCCACCGTCTGATCTACGCAAGCAGAAAAAAGAAAAAGAGAAGTTTTTATTAGCATCCAAAGAACTGCAAGTCGTTTCCACTGCTGCCGCACCGAAAGTCATCATCCTAAATGGCGACATCGCCTTATAGAGCGGGTGTCATTGTTATTCATGACTGACCCAAAATTGAAAATTATTGAGTTCACTCAATTATATAAATACATAAATTTAAAAAATATAGAAAATATAGATAAATAGGAATAAGAATATATACTTTGTAGATTATTACTTTAATAAGAATTACGTTGACATGAGAATTCTCAATATTGATTTCTCAGTAAATTCAAGAAATTTGAAGAAATTTTGTTGTTTGATTTATGAGATAGCAATATGAATTCTTGGGTTATGAAATTTTTTTTTTTATTTATTTGTTTTTCATTTTAATATTCATGGTTCATGCGTGGAGTTTTTTTATATTTGATAATAGACTTTATTTGTAATTGCTTTCATGTTAAGGATGCAAAAAAAATTAATCACAGACAATCTCTCATCTAGAAATTTTTTTATCTGGAGTCAGTATATTATTTTTTGAAAAAAGAGAGATCAAGGGTATAAATAAATTAAATTTCATAGATTAATTTAGATAAATATACATATTTATTAAAAAATTAAAAAATGGGTCAATTGACACCTCCTTTTATATGTTACATCCGTCATTGCTCATTTATGTTAGTTAAGTGTCACGACCCGATTCCATGGGCCGGACCGGCACTAAGGCCCAGGTAAGCTTAAGGCCCCGAGACCCGTAGTAAGCCTGAAATACTAGAATCTATTATATCGGCACAAATTTATCAGCTACAACATTCCACAGTTCGGGCCCAATTAACAATGCATCACATTTATAATATGAGTTCACATAATTATCTCATCTATAATAATACCGATTCCAGTGGGCGGACCGGCCACTAAGGCTCCAGGTAAGCTTAAGGCCCGAGAACCCGTTAGTTAAGTCCTGAAATACTAAGATATCTATTATATCGGCAGCAAATTTTAATCAAGCTACAACATTCCACAGTTTCGGGCCAATTAACAATGCATCACATTTATAATTGAGTTCACAATAATTTATCTCATCTAATAATATATAAACGATTAAAAGTACATCAAATCCTACAACTTGCGGATGTCACGTAACTGTTTTGATATACATAGCCTTTTTATACATACGTTTACATAGTTAAATAAAATTTTAAAACTAGGGAAAATTTCTTTAGTGCCTCTGCGTCGAAGAAACGTAACCTAAATCTGAATTAAAAGAGAAACTTAACTTCCTGCATAAATTAAACAAAGACATGTGGTTTTTCTAAGAAAGTAATTATATTGCAAACACTTAATCCGTACGCAGTCACACAAATATGTAAACATATTCAAAATCTAAGTCATCCGACTAGTTTTATATGCTCACCAGTCCAGTCACACAATGTGCACATCACCAGACTCACAATTATCAACCATCTTTCATATTAATCACATCCGTGGAAATTAGTCAGTGGATCACCTAAACCCCCGACGAGCGTCCTCCTCAACATGTTGCACCGGGGAGCCCAATCCCATCATACTGGCCAGACGGTCCTAATCCTCACTTGACCAGTCTCATTCAATATTTTATTTTTAAACATTTTCTCTTTTCTTTCCATATCAATCGAAACATCATATTCATCAGTTTTCATCAGTGGTGCACACGGGGGGCGCCGATTCATTCCATTACCCGGTCCGACGGTCCAAATTTTCATAATTTTCATCAGGATCCATATTTTATCTGACCCGTGGGCCTCACCATAAACCCATGGTGACCCACTTCATCCCAACTCCCACAAACAAAAAGCAATAGCATTATCACAACACAATTAAATCAAGACATTGGCAAATAAATGCAATGACATATTTGATCAGTTGAAGCATCGTATGCAATGCACAAATTAGTCATTCTATTCCTCATATGCAAAATAAATAATAAATAAGTAATATTAACAATAAACAAACAATAAAAAATAAATTGATAATAATGAAAATAAATAAATAATGATAATTCCACGAATAATAATGAAAATAAATAAACAATTAGAGCCACTCTATTTTATTTATTAAGTTATAGAATTTTAATCTAAATAAATTTATTAATTATGTTATTACTTAAAACTAGTCGAAGTTCTATTGGAATTTTGACAGCACCTCCCCTAAAAATTGGACTATCCACCTGTTTAAATATCACAAAATTATTATATATTTATCAATCAATACACACAGCCCATCCGTCAGGCAATCAACAATTTAAGTCCCATCCTCCTTTGTCCACGTTCACCAAATAAATTTACAAATTTTAATAACCTCCAACAAATTCTAATGATATTATTAATTGTCCTCTAACTATATACTTGTCTAAGCCGTAGATTATAACCTCTCCTACCAATATTTATTAAAACTCCTAGATTAGCTTACATCAATATTAGTTAGGAATTCTTATCTCAATATTAGACCTCCTAATTATAATTATGGTTCATGTAATTTTATTTGACAATGTTCTAAACTAATTTGCAATTACGTTATTCTAAAATCCTTAACGAGTTCGCTAATCATATTTGCTATCGCAATTACGGCATTAAATCATATTGCTATCCTGCAATTACGGCACACTAACTCGATATAAATTTAATTACCACAAAAGACTATACAATGTTCTAGAATATATTTAATCTATTCCATATAACCTCAATTTCTTATATTCAATTTAATCTATTTAAATTACTCAAATTAAATTCATTAATTAACTAATTCAGAATTTATACAAAAATTGAGAATTGAGTCTTAGGGCATACCGATTGAAATTTGGGCGACGATTCCAAGATCCTCACGAAGAGAGGAAAATTTTGTCCTTTTGTGTCTCGCCGGACCGCCGCCATTGCCGCCGCCCACGGTGGCCGGAAAATCGATTTTTGCCCAGAAATTTACGATTCGCATACCAAAATGCTCGAAATTATGCCAGGACCTCGACTATATGACCAGTTTAAACTGAATGTGCCTCGTTTGTTTGGAATCCGCCTCTAAACCTTCGACCAGTCGCCCTTCTTTGGATTTTTCCTATCCCGGCGAAATCACTCGAGAGTGAAGCCATAAAACAGAGAGTGAAGCCATAAAACAGAGATAGGGGAGGAAAGGAAGTCGACCGCGCCTGGCTCGTGGCTTGGGATCGCCGGAAAAACTGAGCTGAAGACGCGATTTCATGGTCGAGTGAAATCGCCGCTCTCCTGCGGCTACTACGCTCACCAAGATCGAAGGAGAGAGGGGAAGGGAGATCTGAGCAGCTACGGTGGTGACGTGACGGCGAGGAGATGAGGTCGATCGGCTCTGGTGGCCGGAAACGGGGAGTGGCTGGCCGGAAACGGGGAGGGAAAGGAGGAGGAGGAGGTGTGCGCGCTGGCAGCTGGCGCAAGGAAGGAGAAGGGAAAGAAAAAGAAAAAAGAAAGGAAAAAAAAAAAAAAAAAGAAAAGAAAGAAAAATCTTGGGCTTCTAGACCATTCCGGTTCGATTCGAACCGGTTTGGTCTAATTCAATGATTCGACTCGATTTTAGCTCGGTTTGCAGGTTTTTCACTTAGTTTTCGAAAAATCGAATTGGTTTATGGGTCCAGTTTAGCAATAATAAAATACTAGCTGGTATAATCTTATTGGTTGAAATAAAAAATTTAGTTTTTAAATGAAAATTTTACGAAATTAAATTTTCGGGTCGTTTCATTAAGCTTAAAACTTAATATTTTTCTAAAATAAAAACTATAAATATTTCAACTAAATTAGGAATCCTAATA